ATGTGTAAAGTAATTCTAACGTGTTACATAGTCTAACGTAGTTAAGCGAACAATTTTCTCAATTTAATGAGAAAAATTAATTAGAGATGTTATAAACGCATGTAACGTTCCTATAAATAAATTGAAAGTGAAGAAGCACATTTTGGAAACGAGAAAAGTGTGCGAAACTTACATTTGTTCAGGCTCTGACTCAGGTTTCTTCCTTAGTGCTAATTAAAACCTGCACTTACGATTTCTTTACTAGATTCGTAAACTATGAGTCTAATTCGAGTGTCATTGTTTTGCGAAGGACGTTGATTTTCAGCCGACCACACAGTAAGAAGTTCACTGTTTCTTTTTTTTTAATTTCTCCTCAAGGCCTCGTTGGCCAAGTTTGTTTCTTCAAAATTTCCAGATTGGTGTGGATGGGGTTCGTGATGTTCTTTTTTTTTCCGTTGATTTATTCGTTAAGACCTTTTTGGTGTTGAATCGTGGAGAGCTACTGCATATTCACCTAGATTAATTAGTACTATTGCACACGACAATAAAAACGCTGGGAAATGATAGGTGCTTTAAGACTGAGGCAGTTTTCAACTTTAAATTAACAGGTAATCAAGACACTAAAGCGAGCCCGGCAACCTGTCATCACAGATGTGAGCATAACCTGGAAACTAGAAAAAGACTGGACTGTGCAGCAGATCCCCTCGTCTCTTCCTCCGCTTTTCAGTGGAGACAGGCTTGTTGTTTATGGCGTTCTGAAGGCGTCTGAAAACAAAAAAAACGGTAGCGGAGTGAATGAAGTGAAACTCGAAGGTAACGCAGAAAATGATGCTCAAGTGGATCATATCATTCAGTTTGCATCCCCCGCCATAGAAGACAACTGGGATACAGATGCAAGAACCGAAGGAAGAATCCTTCTTCATCGGCTAGCAGCCAAGAATTCTATTCAAGAAAAACAAGGTGACGTCAATGAATTGGGCGACAGTGGGCCAAGGGTTGAGAAAGCTAAGAGCTATGTTATCAGCATCAGCAAGTCGGCCAATGTTGTATCAAAGTTAACGTCGTTTGTGGCTGTTGACAAAGACAGCCGTGAGCCTGTATCTGGACCGCTTCGAAAACGAGTGGCCAACTTTGCCTCAATGATTACGTCTGCGGCTGGTAAGAAACAAGCCTACTATATAAGCACGGAAACACAGTCTGCCAACATTCCGTGGGCAGCCGGAGTTTCATCTGGAGCTCTTCCACCTCTTCGAAAACGAAAGAAACCGCGAAGGGCCAGGAAACCCTGCCTTAGTGCTCCTCTCGTTTCCACTCATAACCAGGAGAAGAAAGGTCATCTGTCTGCCTTGTCAGTTATTTCATTACAGAAAGCGTCAGGGTCGTGGGACCTCACAGATCAGCTGGCGTCCTTGTGCGATGTAAGTAGAAGTGATTTGATCAAAGGATGTTCAAAAGAGATTGCAGCTGACACAGCTGAAGGAAAGCTGATATGGGCCACCGCCCTGGCTCTGGTGCTGCTGATGGGGAAGTACTCGGATCAGAAAGATGAATGGGAAATGATCGCTGAGAAAGGCAAAAAATATCTGAAAAAGAATCTCCCGGGGAGTTTAACACTGGATCAAGTGTTAGAGAGTGCAGCGATCGCAGTGGGAGTTCAGGTCAATACTGGACTGTGACCAGATAAATAATTACCACTATTTTACACCTTTTTCACAATTACCTTAAGTGACATGAATTTGATGTAAAACGCAAAACCTAACTCACGTCATTACTTTAGTAGCTAAACGTAGGCTACCCGTTAATCCAGGTTTGTCGTGGTGCTTACTCAAATCCCATCAGAATAGAATGAAAGAAAAAATAGACTATGTTTGATCTGGCCGGATAGGGACGGAATTTTTCTTGTTAGTAGGCCGATCCGGCCGATCAATTTTGGATCAGAGGCAAGATTCCCAGTTAGTTTATCATTAGTATGATGATTTACGTATACCAATGTTTAGTGCGAACTCGGTGATTCTGATGATTTTTTTACCAACTTGTTTTCAAATTATCTAAAGAAACAAAGAGAAAAATCGGTCCATGCTTGTTTCCTGCTCGTTTCGTCGTTAAGAAGTGCTTATTTTTAAATAGCTTAAGGCTATTTCATGGCCTGTGCGAGGGAGCCAGTCTGTGGTAACTTGCACAGAAGCGACATAACGAAAGGGACTAAGATTACCAAGGGGCCAAGAAACCCACTGGTTTTCTCTCAGTCGTTCAGTCTTTAGTCTCGCACCTTTGACAAAGAATAATTCAGCAGGCGTTATAATGTAGTGAGAATACTTTGTCGTGTTTTTGTGAATTGTGGGAATTTTCACTCTCGAGTGTCAAAAGAGTTCCGCAAATATACCGCAGTTGGCGTGTAAAGTTACTTTAACGTAATGCATAGGCAAACGAATTATATATTATGTTATACTTGTAGTGTTCCTCTAAATAAAGAGGAAGTTAACTAGCGTTAAGTCTTGAAAGATTGAAAAGTGAATAATGTGCGAAACTTGTATGCGTTCAATTATTGAAAGATTTTACCCTTTCACTCAAACGACTGACTGACTTCTAATTTCTCCTTTCAGTATCTCTCTTGAATTGAATGTAATGGTCATGAGAATATTGGAAATGATCACTAATTCTTTTCATAACCATAGCAAATGTAAAGAGAACAGTATGGAGAATATGAATTTTAATGTTAGAATGTAAAGGGTTAATTACTATTTCTAATCGTTACCTCTGAAGCGAGAAAGTGATGACCGGCTGGAGCCTGGGAACAGTCACCAGTAATTTTTGATATTTCCTCTAATGGTGGGTTAAGAAAAGAGCATTTGATAAGCTCTTTTTACGCGATAATTGAAATCTAACGAAATAGCATTTAATTTCTCCCTATAATATCACCCCTGAATCGCACATTAAGGTCACGAGAATAAAGGAATTGATCACCAACTAAAGAAGCTCTTAACTGTTAAACAAATTTTCCCGATTAGCATCTTAGCAGTAGTGAACAATTTATTAAAATTTTTATGAAAGGTTGTAAAAAAAAAAAGAAAAAAGGAAAAGAAAAGAAAGCCAGAAAAGAAAACCAAAAAGAAAAAAAAAACCAAAAAAGAAAACCCCCCCAAAAAAAAATTAAACATGCGTGTAAGAAGCCAATATAGAAATAGTTTCTCTTTTACTGGCGACATGAACTCTCCGTGGTTAGTAAAAAATACTTGGTGTGATGCTGTTGTTTTGTTTATATAAGTAGTGTTGCGAAATAATTTCCTAATGTGACAAGGAGTCTTCCTATGAATAATACTCTCAGAAAATACTTATGGGTTTCACTCTAATATCAGAAATTTTGTAGCCTTGGTAACCGGGCTATTTCACCTTCTCATGTATAAAGAGCTGTTGAGGAAAGAGCTTAAAAAAGAGTCAGTTTGATTGAACGGGTTTAATAGGAGATACTTTAAAAAGTTTACTGTTTCTCCGCGCCTGACGCACCAAAGAAGCAACGAGGTGGGAGAAAGCTAGAGTCGTTTGGTTGCTCGCTCGGCAGAGAGAGGCACCGTGTGATCCAGTAGAACCGGTTTAGTGTCCTAAGAACACAATACAATAAACATTGTCGAGTATCGAACCCGATCACGTGGTTTGGAGTTGGTCGTCACTTTCAAATTTATCATATATAAAAAAGAACTCAGAGTTTAGCAGAGTGGAATGAGGTTTGGTGCAAATTTGTTCTACTGTGCTTTGGAGGAGGTTTCATTACCGGGGATTTTTCCTAATTTCGGCTACCTGTTTTGCAGGTAAACCTGCTGAAAATACCAGCTTGTTAGTTTAAAACGTCTTGTGTTGAAACAGTTATCAAACCTTACCATACGAATTAACGTCGCGCGACTCTAAATCGCTTGTATGTTATGCCTTTGCTTTTCTTTCACAGGAAAGCGTGTTAGTAAAACACCTTCTTTGCAAAAATATAAATTCACTGATAGAAATCAAATACAATTGAAAAGAATGGTTCAGTTCAACAACAAACAAAAAAACTACTAATGAGTGACAAATGGTGAAATATTTGCATTCTTAAAAGTACTTTCGCGAAAGTTAGCAAGCTTAATGTTTGATCTTCAAGTTCTCTCTCTTGCCTAAACGTTCGTGGTCCTATCCCTCCCTCTCCCCCATTCCTCCCTCGCCTTACCCTTCTACCGGAACAAAGGAACAGAAATGACTGAAATGATGATTTGAAACAAATGATCCGTAAAACACAATCGCCACATGCCCGAGTTCTCCGAAGTTCTCGTTTTACTCCGATCAATAATTAATTATTTGTTTCTCTTCGTTTCGCTGATTTCTCATCGAAGAAAGTGGCTTCACGCGAAGACGCAATGTTTACGTCGGTTTGTGGCGTGTAGAGTTTGATATTTAATCAAATTAGCCATTAGTAATTGTGGGAAAAAGTTAAAAGCGATTTTTTTCATCGTATTTGGTAAGTACAACCATTAATGGTCCTCTTGCTTCATTGGTCCAAAGAAACCTTTAACTTGTTCTGGCGAAGATCAAAACATTTTAAAGCCGCTTTGAAACACTTAGTGAACTTAAATCTAAATTGGAAACAGTGCAATGGCTTATTAAAGGAAAAAACTGTTTTTCTTAGACGCATCAAAACTGTTGACAATTAGAGATAGGTACAAAATTAGGACAATCAAAGGAAATATGCGACGTAGTTTGACGTTCGCGGCGATGGTCCAAAGCCAAGGTCTCTCAGGTGTTTAATCTTTAATTTGCGCTCGCAAACAATGACTTTAATTGAAGGACTACCCTTTGAATTTGAAAGAACTAACGCTTTTTTGATTATCTGTAGTTTTTTCAACCCACTTTCCACCGCAGGAAATAACCAGTGATTCACGTGGCTTCCTACAATAGCTGTCAATTTCGATACTATACATAGTGTTAGATATAGCATCTTTCAAAAATTAGTAAATTAAATAAGTGATTAAAACAAGAATAGAATCTTGGTAGTAAATACAACTGGGCAGAAACGAGTCGGTATTAGATTGCGTCTTACGACAATAAAATAGTGCACTGAAAAACAGACAATGAGTAAATAGAGTGATGGACCAGAAGTATGTTTCTCTGTGAGATTAGTCAACTGTTTTCCTTACTCTCAGAAGTGGTTCAATATGTCATTGGTGCTAGCATTTGATATTTGTAACCAAGATAAATAACGGGACGTTGTTTTCTCTTGCTGTAACTAATCTATCCTTATTTTTCTTTATCAAAGGTCCAGGACGGAACGGAATAATGTGAACTCAGATGAAGAAATGGCGAAAAGATTTCAAAGCAATCTCGACCAAATTCTAACACCAGGCTCTTGCGCGTGATGAGCAATGATAGCTGTCTTTCATCAAAAAGTGCTCAAAGGGAAAAACAAAGATGAGCAAAGGAAAAGGTTTGTAGGAAGTTTATGCTAACACAGTTATCACATGAACTAATACACGGTCAACTTAAGTAATTTTTCCGATTCTGTGAAATTATATCCAAGAGGTAAAAACGCCCCAGAGGCTCTATATTCCAAGGAGTAACCTAACCGTATGAGTGGTGCATTAAAATGTGCTAAAGATTCAACTTTAGACGCAGTCACTTTGGAAATAAACTTTTAGAATAACTTGGCCGTAAATACAAAGCCAGAACTGAATGGGCAGTCCGCAAAGAGCGTGTGCTCTTGACTGTTGAAGAGAATCACCTTGGCATGGGAGAAAGAGGAACGAAAGCCTATTACGTCACAAACATTTGACCAGGCTGCTACGCAGGATCCAAGATGGTTTCGCCCATAGCTACATTATGGGCGCGTTTGGAGACAATTCTTTGTCGAAGGGTTTGGTTTTTTGTGAAATTCCACAACCTGCACATCGTTATAATTTCATACAATCTTTTTAAGGACAGAGACCGAGATCATATGGTTTCTGAGGCATAATTCTCCGTTAAATCACTGCATCAGACAACGGGGAAGGCAAATGAATATCGTAGTCCAAATAATACGGCTAATTGCTTATATCCTCCTTTGTGTTGATATCTGAGCTCTCTACCATCTACCTTTGCTTCATGAATTTGCTCTAAATATACAACTCTGATAAAAAAAGGAATATGTACAATTCATTCCCGCAAACGACCTCTTGTATTACGAAATGCACCTCTTGCCATACTTGCCTTTTGAATCTAAGGGGATTCCTCGTTTTTTTCTATCAGAAGCAGGAAAAATTCAAGTGTACGTCCGCGTGCGTCCATTCACTGAGAGAGAGAAGGACAAACGAGAAGTGAATGCCATTGAAATTCATCAAGAACACTCGCTGGTAAGCAAAGCGAATCGTGAAATAGGACTGCAGCGTGTACTTGTAGATACTTCCGCTTTCAGAGTTGTCATCTGCCGTTACAATGACCTTTTCTGAGTGTGATACGATTTAAGTCAATGGTAATTATGTGGCTTTTCCCATTACAAGACTATTAGCTTACATTTGTGCTTAAATGCGACTTTTTCCTGGACACACGTCTCCAAACTTCATAACCCCTGAGTACCCATATGTGGCTGCCATGGGTGACTAACTCTCAGCAAATCGGTCGGACAGTTTTAACGCGACTTTGCAATATATTTAATCTCAACAATTGCTTATACAAGTTGGTATTAATCAGATCGGTTAAAACTGCATGTAAAATAGCGAGCGAAAACTTATTACAATGTAAATCAAGTTAAATACGCCTAAAACTAAATATGCTCAGGGAAATTTACAACGAAAATAACGATGAAAATTACGTGATACAAACTTACATTTGTTGCGATGCTGTAGAATTACTGCCTAACGGCGAAGAAGCTGCAAGACGTGCCATACAATGAAATATAACTTCTGCTTCGCCAGCGGACTTACTGAGTAAACTGAACAAACTGTGATGAACAATACGGTCTAAACACATGCCACGTCACGTAACGTTATGAAATGTTACGTAGCATAGTGCACGCAAATTTGAACTGTAACTAGTGTTGTTTGTGCAAGAACAATAAATGATAAAAAAAGAACAGGGTGTTTGTGATCTACACCACCAGTCTCTCAGTTCATACATAATACCATTTGTTTATTGTGTTGACAGATACGTGTACTGGATCCACGAAGCCGAACGAATTATTTTTTTGATGGCGTATTTAGCCCAGAAGCATCCAACCAAGAGGTTAGTGTATTACATTTAATCCTGTTCGAAATACCATATTTATTTGACGCTGCTCTCGAATAATAGACTCAAAAGGTACACAGCGATCATTGCTTCGATGGCAGTTAGAAATTATGAGTAAAACAGACACAGATCCTTTTAAATGTACTAATTCTTATGTCGAGAAAGCATATCAGACATTAGATCTTTATTCACTTTGTGTATTGCAGTGGTATTAATATGCAAATAGTGAAACTGACAACAATATAAAAAAATGATCTTTTAGACAAGCACTAAGACATATTTCTTTTTTTTTTAATTAAAGTGGTCAGTCACCATACTATTGTTTGGATTTTAAATTAATGCCGCCTTCTTACAAACGCCGCCCTCGAATCACGACAAATTTAATAAACGCCGCGGTGTTTAATCGAATAAGTGCGGTTGTCATGTCGAGGAGGGCACTATCATCATTATCATCGCAAAATGACGTGTAAATAACATAAATTTGACCAACACGTTACTTCATGTTTTACAATCATTTAAACGGTCAGTTTTGCTTTCAATCCTTAAGGTGACAAACATTGCACACAAGTCGGTTCTGTCTCTAAAATTTCTTTCAGCTGGCAAAATGTTAGATATTTTTATCTAAAGTGTTAGAAAAAGAAAAGTCTTCTCCCGTAAGGAGAAGCTAGGCCATATAATAGATTTGTAAGGAAATGCCTGATATTTTATGCTTTAAATTGCTTAAAGGTATATCTCAAGGTTGGAAAACCTCTCGTCTACGCTGCATTGAATGGCTATAAAGGAACACTTCTAACATACGGACAGACCGGTACAGGTAAGGAAAATGAATACTTTAAGCTAAACACAAGAGAGATAGGGAGAACAGCTCTAAATCTTACATCCTGTGTCTCTTTGGTCGGTTGCGCAGTCTTTCATAAACTACTCAACAATTAAAGATAATCTATTATGAAAATTTTTTCAGGCAAAACCTTCACACTTCTGTCAGATGATGGTGTTACCACGCGAGTTGTCCAACACTGTTTTGAAAAAATCGCCAACGATGAGATTCACAACTACAAGGTGAGGACCAAACATATTTAACATTTTGGTTTCTCTTACCAATCTCAGCTCTTATCGATGTGTATTTCTCATGATAAGAAGGATGATGAAGAATTAAAGGCTGTCATACGGGCGTACTTGTCAGCGAAAATCGTAACGGCGTGCTCTTCGAACATGTGCAAGGAGATAATTTTGAAATTTCTCTTGATGGATAATATGACCTAACTTGACTGCAAATATCCAGGGTAACATTTGCAAAATAAATATAAACTCTGATTAAAAAATGCCTCTCCATGATGGCGGCGGGGGATTCAGAATTCAAGTTGTATCCGCATTGGATTTTTTCTTTATGTACGATTTAAGTCTATCATAAGATTACATGCTTTAAGAACACTTTTGTTAAGACACAACCATGGATGCACGTAATCCGAGAGAAACAGATGACATTCGATGTTCTTCGTTCTCAGGTCATGTGCTCATTTTTGCAAGTCTACCAAGAGAAGGTCTACGATCTTTTGAATCCGCGGTTTACAGTAGATTTACCAGTCAGAGAGCATCCAAAGAAAGGTAAGCGCGTTCAAGTGCCCTAATTCAACCAGAATGCCAAAACAAGATCGTAAATGATCATCGATCAGATAATTTCATACAGCAACATTGAAAATTTCTGAGTAAAAGCGGCTTTTATTCTGTAGTTTTCAAAGAACTTAAACTCGCAAATCTTGGAGAAAGATGTTTTTCGTCTTGTCACGAGGGTGGGACAAAGAAAAAATTCTGAGTCCCCATGAGGAATCGAACCTCAGCCCTTCGGATTCCGCGTTTCGATATTTTACCACTGAGCCACAAAGACTCTATGGTGAGCAAGGCCCAATAGGATCTTTCTCATTCTATTTACTAAACATGACGCTATCGACATTGCTGATCCTTGCAGTATGTAGGACGCGTGTCATATATGAACTTCGTACCGGGCCTTGCTCACCTTAGAGTCTCTGTGGCTCAGTTGTTGAGAATTCCGGAGCGTGGATTCCGAAGTGCTGAGGTTCGATTCCTCATGGGGACTTTGAATTTTTTCTTTGTACCACGCTCGTAACAAGACGAAAAACATCCCTCTCGTTTTCTTTACCGAGCTCAAAACTTACCATCTGTTTCATTCCACTCACAAACCTTGTCTGATTAATGTAATGACCCTGAGTGGATTGTAATTTCGAAGGTCTCGCCGGTTCGATTTGTAGTCTACGCTTACAAATGGCTGACAGCAAAGTCCCAGTCAGTCGGAGTTTTTAACTCTTAATACATTTAAGTATTTTTTCTCACCGACGCCCGCTTCGCGTGAGCCGTTGAGACATGAACACCACGTTGCCTGTCGAGGTTTAAAACTTGCCACTCAATCACTGGTACTTCGAATCACCGCGCGCTAACCTAATCTAATGCGATAACGTATGTTCATCACTTTCCGTTTTCAGGAGTATACGTAGCAAACTTGACCCAACACGAAGTAAAAAGTGCTGGAGATGTATTTGCACTCTTAGAGATAGGAAAACAACATCTCGTTATCGCGGAGACCAAGATGGTCCGGCATTCCAGCAGGTAATGGCTTCAAAAACTTTCTATCACTTCAGTTTTTTGTAGTTATTTGTCGTAACAATTCGATTTGTTCAACAGATCCCACTCAATCATGCAGCTTATTATAGAAAGAAGACTGAAGGCACACATTGCTAATGGTAAGGAGAAAAAACATTTCTTACGTCCAACGAAGCTATCTTTGCACTGGTAATTCGTAGCTGACAAAAATTAACAAAAACCTTTCTTTACTCGACAACTGCGCAAAAAATCTTTCATCTTCCTTCCCCTTCGTCCATACCTGATCCAAAGACTTTTATCCCTTGTGTTTCAAATCAATTTATTTCTTGATTTTGATGTAAAGGCGACAAACAAAAGACAAAGCTCTTCAGAGCTAGCAACTACCCACACTTTCAAGAAAAGTGCTCCTGGCTAGGATTCAAATTCTCACGCCAGACACTCTTTCTTTGTCACTCACTCGAAATAAGAATTAAACGTCTTCCATCAAAACTTTTCACTTCAGAAAAACCCCCGAGCAAGGGTGAAACTACTGTATCCCACGAGGCAGTTCAAGAGTCCATCATGGCAGTCGACGAAACAATTAACAATCTCATAAAGGAACTGAAACAAGAAAGAAAAAGTCATCACAAGGTAAGGGACTAAGTTCGAATATCTGCGCAACCTTTGAGTAGACACCTGTATACTGCTGAAGGTAAAACAATACTCAACATGACTTTATTTCAAACCAAGAGAGGTTTAATCCTCTTCTGGTTCAGACTAAGAGTCCATGGTTTGGTAGAAAATGCATGAACTTTACCAAAAAAAACCGTGCAATCAATCATTGTCATTTGAAAATCTTGTGTTGTATACACACTTTTCTGTATCGACTCTGTGAATATGTACTTCAACACAAAGCTTTTGAATTATTTGACGTGTTATCTCGTTGAAAGACCGTTTGGAAGGTTACTCGGCAAACTACTAACTACTATTCTTATTTCCTTTTTCAACATCAGCGTGAAAGAGAGTGTTTGAAAGAGTTAATGGAGAAGGAGGTAAGATTTTGATGATAAAGCTTTATTGGGTTAATCCATGGGATTAAATCCACATGTCATCCTCGTCTTGGAAACGAGTCGAAGATTTTTTTCCTTCTCTGTCATTCACCTCCTTATAATGCGAAATGAACTGCTTCGGCAGATGCCATGAAAGAGAATGGTACAAATAATTGAATTAAAAAACCTTCATTCCAAAAGGATTCCCATATCAAGCGCACGTTCTGCATGAAGCCCCTATCTCAAAAGTCTCCTCAAGCCCCTATCTTTGAAGTCCCTTTTTTAAGTCAATAGAGCTTACACCAAGCACTCACCTCTACAAGGCGGCCATCAGAAAGAATACTGTAGGTTTCCTTTCAAACAGGCTCAAAATACTGTACATTTTTCAACCAAACGCAACTTATGAACTTTTTGCTGACTTTTTTTCACTTACACAGCTCAACAATGGGAACAATTTTGAGGGCGATCTCATTGTGAAAGGAAAAATCAATTTGTAAGTAGGAAATCACATTAAAATACCATCCAAGAACCTTTCAATCATCCTTATTCTGCCAAACCTCCCAGCTCAAGTAGCTCTATAATTTAAGCATGAAAAGTAAGTGAGCCTATACAGCCTGAAGAATGAAACTTGTGTTTGCACCGTTTATTATCAATACCCTTCTGCTAGTCTCGTACTTAGACCTTCCACAGCCAAGCAGTTACACGATAGGACCTGGGTACGAGATTAACCTTTTACCACTGACACGCAATATCAATGTATTTCCGGCATTTTCTTAGGTGTGATTTAGCCGGAAGTGAAAGGCTTACCAAAACCAAGGCGGAAGGAGTACGATTAACTGAGGCGAAATATTTAAACACTTCACTATTGGAGCTTGGGTAGGTGGAGATGAACTTTGTAACATGTTCATGCTTTAAGGTTCAAGATGATAGATAATCTCAAACGTAGCTCGAATCCGTAATCCTCTAAAAAACCTCGAGGAGATTCTCATTTAGGAAATCAAATTTTTTTTAACATATTTTCCTTTCCACATTAAATTACTTGACCCTTTGGCCTGCTCGCAACCAAATGTCCGCTTCCAATCAGTTTTTAACTCTGACTCCTCAGGAATGTGATCCACGCCCTTGCACGTGGACACAAGCGTCACGTGCCATACAGGAATTCTACTCTCACCAGACTCCTACAGGATTGCCTTGGTGACAATGGAAAAACAAATTTTATCGTAAGCAGCAAATTTACTTTCTTTCTTTGATTTAGGCTATGCCCCTTAAGATGTTTTCTCGCTCTTTTTCTGTCTATTTTTCATTACAGCAGTTACACGATCTTTATCATCCTAATTCAATTTATCTCAGTGTTGCTATTTTTCCCACAGATTTGCATAGCACCTTCCCTCGGCGAAGTAAACGAGACCAAGTGCAGTTTAAACTTCGGTCTTCGAGCCATGAGAATAACCAATGTGGCCCGCCTTAATGTTGAGGTGAATACATGAACTACCACGAGTGTTTGCTAAAAAATTCGAATGGATTAAAGTAATGATTTCTTGAAAGGAGAGACTTAGTCTGGAGACTTTCGAGTTGACAGAGATATGAAGATAAATGGACGAGATGAGGGAATTTTACTGTCCTTCCCTACTTGGTAGTTTTCGGTTAATGTGCCGAGAAGTCTTTCCTACGAGCACAAGGGAGAAATTGTGTCATAGTTGTTTTCAGTCGTCATCAAGATGTTGTAGGAGTGCAATGAAATTAAAATTTCTGCTTAAAAATTGCGTGACGAGATGATGATAGATGATCCGCTCTATGAGGGGAAATTTTTAATCAAACATTTGCAGTTTTTATTACCATGTGTCAAAGCAATTTATTCCCATTTCTACGATGGCATTTTCACAGGTGGACTATAAAGTATTGGCTGAAAGATTGGCGAAAAAACTCGAGGATCAAGGTACGAGAAGGTTAAATTTTATTTTGATTACTGAGCACAGTCCTGCTTTAATTTCAGTTGCTTAACAAGACTCAAAGTAAATGCTGGGGTTGAAATTTAATTTGTGTGCAGCCTATTCACCTCTCGCTTTCCATTTCCTATATTTTAAATAAACGAAGTAAGTAAAAAGAGGAACTAGTTCTAGTCCGGCAAGTCGATGAGGAACGACCTCCGCTAATCTGTGGCAAAAGAACTAATCATCCTGCAACATTAGTTAATAGCAGGGTAATTGGATATGCACTCTGAGGTAGAAATGAAAAAGCAACACATTTTCAGAACTCAGCTGTTTCTTTTGAAAATCGCTCTGGCAAGGTGATAGTTCACTGAGCCAAACAATTATTAAAGTACAATGAAGTTTTCAACTGACGGTGTGATTTTGTTTTGTTTAGAAATTAAATACAAGTTCGAGAAGCTGGAGTACCTCAGAGAAATACAGCGGCTGAAATCTGCAATAAGCTGTTACCAGGAGAGCGAGAATTTCGCAGGAAAAGATGTAAGATTGATTATCTATTTTGCTAGCCCTTCACCAATATGGATGAAAAAGCGATCGCCAACTAAACCTGAAATCAAACGAAACCTTAAATTTAACAATAACTAAAATGAACACAGTTAATATGAAAACGAGAGAAAAATTTTCACAGTGAAGTTGGCGTTGTTTTATACTTATTTTTAAATTGTTTGCATTTCACCTTTTTCTAGGAGTTAACTTCTATCAAATGCCCACCAAGAGCATGCACAGCCACGGGTTTCAAGAGATCGGGTTTTTTTTAAGTCGCTCTTTTTTATTTCCTTTTTTCTCAGCACGAGAAGTTAGTCACAGTAATTGCCAATCTTTCCAAAAGTGTCCAACGAGAGAAAGAGGAGAAGAATAATCTTCAAACAGAGCTGGTGTGCCTGAAGAAACAAGTGTCTCAACCAGTAGGAACAAGTGCCCCTGATGTCGAGGCTGTCTTACTTGCCGAGCTTATGTCCATGGAATTGTTAGCAAATTTACAAAACCCGGATGCAGCTAAGGGAATCCTTTTAGATGACTCACTTCCAGCCAAAGTTAAAAGTCATCTGGCATTGGCTGACACCCAAGAAACACTTTTGAACAATGCTGGGTGTTTCTTGCAGTTGTTAGACCTCCATCTTGACACTGAACTGGATGCAAACGAAAGAAAGCGGGCAGCTTCCGATGCAAAGGAATATTTGCAGTTTAATTTATCTAAGGCGGGCTCGGTGGAATTGTTCTCCAAAGACTGCTCCATCAAAATTTCTCCTAGGGGTGTCCCTAAAGAACCCTGTCTCAGCCTACCCATGTACAATAGCAGTCCCGATGAAAATTCCTCTGGACTGGCGGGTGGAGTGCGCAGAATGTTGGGTAAACTCATGGGTCGAGAGAGCAAGGACAGGACGTCAGTTTCGCCTGGCACACATCCCAGCGGCCAAGCATGCTCTGTTCCTAGTGGTGACGTTACCCAACGTGGGCATGATCAGGAAGACCCCATGATTAAAACCAAGGCATTATTAACACGCCTGACCAGCTCTAAGGAGAAGGTGGAGCAGCAAGTTCTCAGTTTATTGTCGACGTTGTTTGACGAACAAATCACCAAAAATGAAGGTCAGTAAAAGCCAGCTTCTTAGCACAACTCCCTCCTTGTCGTTATCTCATAGATTTTACCAATAGGCTATCTAAGGACTATAGGTTTGTCAGTTATTTAACGGTGAGGTACAAAGGTTGAGTGACGTAACCGGGGAAGCCTTGGTTCACAACTTTTCACAACAGTGGTCAAATGTGGGGCATGCGGAGCAAGTCAGCTTTGACCAGCTGTGCGCACGCACTTGTTTGGAAAATGTTACAAATAACTTGTGTCACAAATCTTACAAAAAGTCTGTAAAAGGAGACCGAAGAAAGGGAAACTAGACAAGGATCAACTTTTAGATCACTCGTTTGCTTTGAACTTTACAACGCCGTGATTTACAGGCATGTTTGTATCTCCTGTACGACACCTTTGCTCTGGCAGCCTGAAAATGCGATGTTAGGCAGGCTCTTGGCCATTTGAACGTTTGACCATTGTGTTCTATCTAAGTCACTGGCAGGTTTTAACTTATATTTACTTAAATCTTAGGACAATGTCCGCAATGGAACGAGCTGGGAAATAAACTGACTAAGCTGATCATGTTTCGACGCAATAACATGCCTGGTAGGTCGCAAATATCATATTGTTCCAATCTCGCTAGCCTTTCCCTATACTAATAAATAAGTAAATACACAAACAATAACAGAAAAGTTATTCTGGTCAATAC